CAGCTAGAACATGCTTCTCAGATACTCTGCCGAGTTCAAGGAGGAAATAACTGAAACTGCAGGTATGCCAAGCATGCAGACTCAGACCCAGAGCTCCCAACAGTGCTGTCAGCTTCAAGACAAAACAAGAGCACTCAGGCGAGTAAAAGTAATCCCTGCAAAAAACCATCCTGCTCATTCCGAGACGTACATTGTCCACTGGTGCGCCCTGGCCAACCTGACGCTAAGGCTGTTCTGGAATCTCAGCAGACTGGACTCTCTCCGCAAGTTTAACCAGATGAGTTTTGTCTCCCCCTTTCAGCCAGCAGTTTGTCAGCATCACTTTGCATTTGAAAAATAACATCCGAGGTCTTTCTTATTCAATCCAGCCTCATTTCCCTCCTCAAGAAAAGAGAATTAAACTATTACTTCTTGTTCGTATAGCTGCCCTACCTGATTTTACACACCTTGTCAATATAGACGCAACAGGACAGCAGGGTACGCAAGCAATGAGGCAAGCAAAGGAAGACTGGGAAGTTAAAGGTGGTATCTGTCCTTCCGCCGCACCCTTCTGCCATACAAAGCCTTTATCCCTTTCATCCCTCTACGTTCTGCCTCTGCACCCAGGGTGAATCACATCAGAAGCAAGTGTTCACTTTTCAGATTGCCTTGAAGTTTGAGAGTGACGGTTCCCCTTACAGATCTGCAAACCAACTCTTTATGCTACTCCTTAAAGAGGTGTGCATCAAAGACAGTGCGTGCACACTGGCTGTTAATTTAACAGGTTGCAGAAAAGCTGTTTATTTTATTACCGTATTATCAATCCAACGGGACACCAATAAAGGTTTTATTGTGCAGCAAGAAGTGCCAGCCCCGTAGCTGGCAACATCCTCAAGCTGTGTCATGATGCTTCTAGTTTTGTTTGCTGTTTGATATCTTGGGTATTCTCTTTCAGGGCATCAAGCCCACCATCTTGGGGATGCTCTTCAATGAACTACCACTACTGTTCGGGTTTCCGTTTGATAATTTTGACAGAAAACAACAACAGGGATGAGACCTGGAGGCAGACAGAATTCTGTACTCTGCAAGACTGGGCTCTGAGGATACAGAAAATGAGCTCAGACACATAACACTGCTGTGATACTGGAGTCTGTCTGTTTTAGCTTCCTTACCAACCAACTTAGACCCAAATAATTTATACATGAATTACTAAGAAATCTGAGCACTCCTTCCTGAGAAAGTAGATGAACTTGAAACCAGAAAGATTTCAAACACCACCAGATTTGATGTAGCTGTTACACAGGATCAGATCGATTGCCTTTTCGGTCCAAGATCCTATCAAGAATAGTCACCAGCACCACACTGATGCCACGACAGCGGAAACAGTTTACCTGAAGCACAGGAAATAATCAAGCACAGATCCTCTCTCTGAGCAGTCTTCTGGCTCCCTCTTCTTTGCTCAAGTTTTCATTCCCAAGTATTTCCAGAGGATGGAGTTGAATGTTGCCAGGTACAGCACCAGCAAAACCAGATGCAGACACAACGCAGAAAATAAGCAGCATGCATGGGAATTTTCTTCCTCATATCTGTAGTAAGAGGTTGCCTTTACACCTCAAAGCAGAGAGCTCTACATGTCCCTACTTAAGTTAAATGTAAATATTTAATGTAAACTAGGTACTATTATGTGTTCACAAAGATATCTTAACATTTTAGAAAACCTACTGAGCTCCTGCTCTCAGCAGCACCTTGAAGCCATAGGGTCTATAAAATAAAAGGATTTCCGCTCTTTTCATTTTAAATTGATTGGCTTCAAATACCTTGGCTGAGGCTGTGTCTTTAGGCACACAAAGAGAAAAAGCCCATGATTTAATTTCTCTGCACTGTTTGTTCATTTGTTCAAGTGTCTCCAAATCATCTCCTCTTCAAATTTGACCAGTCTTTCTGTTTACCAAAAGACTTTCTTTGTCTGAAACAATTGTCATTGCCTTTCTAAAGACCTCATTTCCTGACTCTCACTCAGGATCTACCCAGAGACAAGGGTAAACAGCGTGATGTACACACGGCCAAGCAATGACATCCTGGTTTGCCACCGCTTAATTCCAAGTTGGCTAAGCCGATTTTGAGGCTCCCCAGCAACTTTTGTTTGTTTTTAATAGATATATTTAATAGGCTGTTACAAAGGGAGTCAATGCAGTTCTTGGATCTCTCATGGGTGGCCTGGCCTAGATGCACCAGCCAAGCATTATGCAGAACACAAAGTCTGTGTCATGGCCTAAAACATCCAATGTACCAGCAACGGTTACAGAATATGAAACTGTCAAGTGCCCCAATAACTATAATGCATTACATCCCACCAAAAAAAAAATCATCAGAAACTAAACTCCTGGCGAGGAATCTCTAACACCGCTTTCCACAGCATTTAATTAAAAGAATGAAAAAGAGCAAACAAGCAAGAGCGAGCTGTGAAGTCTGAGATGCGCCTGCTGCCTACGCGCTCACACACAGAGGGTCTGAAAATCACTGGAACATCCATCAAGTTGATGAGCTCATCTGTTGCATTGATAGGGATCGCCAATAAATACTGATACGGTTTCATTGGAATTCAGTGCTCATTTACAGATGCAGTCATTTATATTCACAGCATGACACTGTGATTAACCCTTTCATTGACGCTGTAATTCCAATTAATGCGAACTGGCCGGACACATACAAGATGTAGATAATGAGCTCTACTTCAGTAACAGCATACCTTGGTTGGGAAAACCAAGCACATCTTTCATCTTCATTTAGATGTGAAGGGGTTACATTACAGTAGCTCCTACTGCAACCCTGCTATTGAAGCCTCACTGAAAATTAAATGCCACCAGCAGTGCTACTGAAATATGCTCTAAAGTTTACAGGCAAACTACAGAAGCTTGTAAAGTGCCAGGGGACTTCTCTGGTTTAATTATACAGACCCTGTTCCATAAATTGCTTGAATGGAATAAATACAAATAGCATTCCCTGCTTTGTGACCTCTTTGGGTCAATGAAATGCACACAAACACCTACAGTCTGCTATGGCTCAGAAATTCCACAGCATAAACACACAACCTTGCTGGAAGCACTAGTCAGGACTCAAGCCTTGGTATATACATGAGAACCAGCTGCCTGGACTCAGCAAGGAAAGATTTTGTTGTTTATATTCAAATGCTATTCTAAGCTGCAGACGGTGGGAATTGTCTCCAGTTTACTGAACAGGGAGAAAGATTCTGAGATTTCAATGTTCAGGCTCTAATTAGAAAATCTGCTTCTCTTATCCGAAGAGGTATGTGAGGTAAGAGAGGCCGAGGAATTCCATGAATCAGTAAGCAACCCACCCTCGGCTTTGGGAAGCGTGAGACCCTGACATTGCTACTGCTCTACCTGGCGACACTTACCTCCACATCCTCTGGACATACTTGGGAATAAAGACTTGAGTGAAGAAGAGAAAGCAAGAAGAGAGTTTAGGGAGAGGAATCCCTACTTGATTATTCATTCTCCTGCATGCAAATGATTTCTATTGCCCTGACACAAAGGATATCTGATCCTACTGAAGCCAGCCAGCTCAGTGGCCAGTTCATGTGGCCAGTATGCAATTTTCTCATGTTTTTTAACTTTCTCCAAGCACTCCATCTCTCCTATGATGCAGAAAGAGCTGCTAGTTCTACTGTCTGGGTATGGCATCCAACAGACAACTCCAGGAGTCTGCTGAAGTTTCATTCACTGAACATTTAAGAGCACAGGTGTGAGCACAGGCCTCTGGAGGTCTCGGAGCTAACAGCATTGCACCATCTCAACGAGAACTGTTTTCAGGATTCAGTGACGGTACCTTAAAACCAACAGGGTCATCCTCCTCCCAGATTTTTTGCTGTCATCTGTCTCAGTCCAGAAATGTCATAAGGCCAAGTAATACAACAGTTTTCCTGATATTTCCCTAGTTTTATTACGGGTCCTAGGTGCTCTTATACTTACCCTCACTTGCTTTATTTGGTAGGTTTTTTTTTTTCCTGAGACTCTAGAGTTGCAGAACAGGAAAATCTTTGTCCTGTTACATAAAGAAACAATACTGCAGCAATCCACACGCAGCACACAGCAGTAGGTCTGCAGATGGAGAACTTCTCCAGGTCCTGCTTGCAGACCCTCCTCCTGCACTGAACGCCTCCAAACCCCTCATCCTTCTCATAAATGAGACTCACCTTGGGGGGATCAGCGGGAGGCAGGTACGATTTTAAGTGCCAGTTGTGTTTGCCACCGAGAAGGAGAAAGTTCTCCCACTGACCTGTAAACTTGGGCTGTTGACACTGGAACTACCATAAAGATGGAACTTAACATCTTGGTGACTCTAATATCACACCTCAGCTCTCTAATGCATCAGCCCAACTGTGCTAGCTGGAAGCTAACACAGAAGAAAAACAGCGCCCATCAAGCCAGAACCTACCTCAGACCACCTAGCTAGACCAATAAAGGTAACAGACTGACAGAAGACAGACTGTTATTGCTGCTCGTCTGTGCTGTTCACATAAATGACACTTCACACACACAACGATGAGTTGCTGCTCAAAAGGGATTCCAATTTACATAAGGACAAAATGATGACACACAGACAAGCTAGAGGATAGCGAAGACAGTAAGGACATATATCTCATAGTGAAGTAAGGATGAAACCTTGATGGTTGCATAAGGTTTTATTGCTGCGGCATATATAACTGATAATATAAAAAGGTGAAGTGCAAGGCCAGATGCCTTAGGTATTATGCACGTATAGTCTCTTCTCTTTACTCTTGACTTTGATATATAAGTGGGAGACCAGATCCCAAACCTTCTAAAGCAGTTTTTTTTAAAAGAAGAAAGGATCTTTACTTCCCTGATAAGGAAAACCCTGTCACGTAGCAGGGGGCAATCATTTTCCAGTCTAATCACCAAGAAAGAGCAAACACATTCTGGCGTGCTGAAAACCGTGAACCCAATGAAGCAGGCGCAGCGAGGGGCGCGCAGACCTACCTTAAAAAGCAGGCAGTCCCCTTGGTGCTCGGCGTAAATGGAGGTGAGTCGATACTGGTTCTCAGTCGTGATGTCGATCTGGTACCCCGTTAGCGTGTAGCACACCTTGCGAAACTCCTGGATCTTGGTCTGGAAAACTTCTTTCAGACGCTGGTTTTTCAGTTCTGCACTTTCCACTTGCTTCTTCAGCTCTACGTAGGGGAAGAAAACAGGGACTTTCTTATACGTCATCAGCACAGAGCCCTTGGGCCGTATTTACGGCGCTAGCCAAACTAAGTGAATTGAAAAGGATAATTACATTTTTTAAAAGTGAATTAAGCAGGGAGAATAAAGAAACAAGCAAGCTAGGTTCCTCTCCTCCTGGCCCCAGCAGACCAACAGATAATAAACTGGAGAATAAGGAAAACAGACATATCTTGGTGGGATGAATTTTTCTTTTGCTCAGCCAGCCTTTTAACAACATACTACAAAATTCAAAGCTATAGCGTCCATTTCCCCACACGCACACATCTTATTTTCTACATAGAACCCAAGAGAAGGGTGTTTTGCTAGAAGCAGCAAGAAAGTGGAAAAATGGGAAGAAATATGCTTCTGTATGGTTGCATCAGGAGGAAGCTGCCTAAAAGGGAAATCTCCTCCAACGTACCCTTGATTAGACTGTGAATGCTTTGATCTCAAATTGACACACTGCTTAGGAATCCCTGAAGATTCGGGAAGAGCACCACTGCCTCTTTGCATTTGCCACCTTAACTGGACTAGTCCCTAGCACAGAGGTCCTGCGAGACTGCCTGCCACTCACCTTGTATTTTATTGCTACAAAGGGAGCTGCCAGCACTGTGAATCCGTCAGGAGGATACACAACAATTACCATGAATCTTTCACCCAAGGTGCCTTCTGAGTAATTAAACCTCGATTTATCCCCCCATTAATTACAGAGATTGGCTTTACTTTAATATACACTAGAGATGCCTCCCAAGTCAGCCTGTTTTATCAACACTGCAGTCTAGGGTTAGACAAAACCCCTCTTTCTAACAGCAAATAAATAGAGTTCCTCATTTGGATACCTCTTTGTCATTCTGAGGTTTAAGGCTTTGTCTGTGCTGTGATCAGAGACATAATTACAGCACATGTAGGCAATAATGTCTTTATTTTAGCTAGTTCAGAGTCCAGCACTAGGAGAGCAGAAACTTCAGCAAGATGACTGCTGGAGTACGGAGAAAGGGTTTTGGCTGGGCTTATACAGGCCACGCTAAAGTATTATTGTTTTCTAAGCAAGCTGGAAAAGTTTTTGCTCAAGTACTTGCTGAAAAGCGTTTCCATCGACTTCCCAAGCGTAGCGCAGGAAGAATGTAGGATGGTAACTGCAAGGCCATGGACTTGCCTGTGATTCACCTCCAAGTAGCTGCAAGTGCACCAGGAGAACGCGAGTCTCCTCTTAGCTTCTGTACTGCTTTAGTTAGGCACTCCGGGTGGGACAAAAGGATAATTTTGTGTTAAGTTAAAGTGCCTTAAATGCCACTGAGGATGCCCCGGCTCAGAAGTACTTTGGCCTTAATCCAATTCAGCTTAATCCCCAGGCAAGGACAGGAACTCTTTAATGGTTAAAGAGAACTGCTTGTCCCTTTACTTCTGAGTGAGAGCATCCACGCAGGGAGCGTTAACGCCGGCCACCTCCTTACCTTCGGCTAATTCAGCTCCACCTTCCCGAGCGGCTTGTGGAGGTGATGTGCAAGCAAAGTATTTCCTTTGCTCTGGGTCTCCCCCAGCTGTATCTCGCTTTATCGAGGGGAGCAAGCCAGTCTTGGGGAACATCACATACCAGTTTGTTCATTAAAACACTGCTATACAGGGAACCCCCCAGTTGCTGGGGAACGTAAGGTAAATAGAGCATCCAAACCCTGCTCACAAGGCTGAAGGGTTGTGGGTTACATACTGTCCCTTCTCATGAGCTTGAAAAGGTCTTTCCTGACCACCCACCTTCCCATTCCTACCAAAATCATCACTGCATGATTAACTCCACCCTTCCCTGGGCTGTTACAACCTTTTCCCCCATCATCTCAGCTGGGTCTGGTCTTTGATTAATCAAGTAATCAGTCTCTGAAATCAGGAGGTTAATTGGCAGCTCTGACCTCAATATTCTCACAGTCCTACATTCAGCTATGCAACTGTTAAGGACAAAATCCTATATCCAAAAGTAAAAATTCAGTGACCACATTGCAGTGGTAAATAACATTTCACCGCTGTCAGAGACAGAACTGCCTTTAATATATCGCATATGTCCAACAGCGGTATTTTTTTCCTAATAAATGCAGCCTAGCCTTGGAAAAGTAAATCTGCCTTTTCCTACCGCATCTTGGAGGCTGCCATTCCTGACTTTTATAACCTTGGAGGTGGATGGCACCCTAATTCATGAACTCCTTGAACAGCTTTTGTTATTCATGAGGAGTTAGCGCCTTCTCCACCGTTTTGTCTCTCGGACTTGGTACTGCTAATGGCCATCAGGAGCATCCTCACACCCGCTGGGTTGCAGCCTTATCACCCACCCACCACCACTGGCCTAGTTAGACTACAACCACGTGAATCTAGAATAGCAACTAAGAGATGGCAACTGCTTCCCTCCACTACCCTCAGGGTGACAAAGGAAAAACTGACTACAATCAGTCTTTTATGCAAGAAATCCTGAGCTTTTCAATTTAACTGAAGGACTAGCAAGCCTTCACTCCCGACAGCGTGCCCTCCCCATTCCTCCCGGCCCTCTTTCCAGTGCCTGCGGCAGTTTTGGTGTATTACCGCGCCAGCCGTACTGGTTGAAGGAATTCAGCTGCATGAAAAAACGTTATCTCCCCGTTAAGAGATGTCTCGTGTCAGCCACTGGCACAAGGTGCTGAACTCAGTAACTGCTAATGTAGACACAGCCGAATGCGCCAGCACCAGCCAGGGACGGGATAAAGCCTCGTCATCTCCTCCCTGGCTCCAGCAGCAATTCCCCAACGGTGTTTAGTGGCACAGCTTGGGGACGAGGCAGGAAAAAACCAGAAGCAGGTACAGGGACACGACAGGAATGCTTAAGCTTGCAACTGTGAAAGGTCCGTTGAACTCTGACTGTAAAACAGAGATTGCTTTTCCTTTCCGCCCAATTAAATTGCACTCCTCAATAGTTCAGCTACAGCAAGTGCTGATGCCTACCTCGGGCAGCATTTATCCCGTGGAAACAATTCAACTAGGGGCTACTCCCAAATTAACTCAGAACAGCACTCAGGACTTCGACTACTCCCCTGCTTTCTGCTGAGGGCTCTGCTGATACAACCAAGAAGCTGCCTTGTGAGGAGGATTCACAGAAGAGTAACTTGGTAGGAAGGTAACCTGAGACTTGAGAAATGTAGGATGGGATCCCACTGCTGAAACAAAGCCATTTGAGATGCCTGCAGGTTCTGTGTCATACCAGCCAGCCCCAGGCCAACATCTCAGACACTTTGGGGTGTCTAAAATGGCACAGGGTGCCTGTTTGTAGGCACCGAGTACCTACACAGCCTCTCTGTACCATGGCTCTGCTCTAGCACCGCAGATTCCCAGCACCCAGAGAACAGCACAAGCAGCGTGTGCTCTCACTTGGGGACAGTAATTAATCTTTCTAATATTTCCCCCACCAAGCAAAGATGTTAAGCTAAGAGGCAGCTCATTGTTTGCTCTGCATCTGAATTCAAAGATGTGACGGCGCTAATTCTTAAGCCTCACCTAATACCACTAATTCCCGCCAAATTTCTAGCACCGTCAGGAAAAATTGAATTAAAAGTCATCATTTGCAGAGAGTGCAATTCAGCGTATTTCAGAGCAATGTTTAAGGCACAGCCGTAGAGGCCACTGAACAGAGGGAGATCCTTTCAGGGCGGGTGGAGGTGCATCAACAGAGCAGATTTCTCATGACAGCATTACTGTTGCCACCCGTTTTATCTACCACCTACACAACATTGAATGTCTTGATCCTTTAAGATCTTTCACAACATTTGGAGAATTAGGTCTAATTATATCTTTAAAAGGCAACATTTGAAAACTAGAATCCCTGTATTTAGAGCACTCATGTGAGGTCCTGTGTTCGACTCTTACACTTGCACAAAACCGGCGTGTGCATGGGTGGGGACAGTCACACCATAAACATCCTTCAACCCAGAGAAGGGACGCCAAGGCATCCCTCACCGAGGCATTAATGAAACAAATAAGAGCTGAGAAAATAAGTGTGAGATTTGGCTATACCTTGGTCAGGGATGACGACTGGCTGTTTACTTTGCCTGGAAAAAACATAAAGGAGAACAGAGACAACAGGAAAATACACGGAAATCATACTGCCCCATCTCTTATGTATTCAGGGCAAGAATGTGTACAAAAAGTTGCCCGTCCTGAAGAGTTTGATGGGGGAAAAAATCCTCACTGATCAAAATCCTTAATCTGTTACAACATTAATATTTGCCCAATGATTAACTTTCCCCTAATGATGCTGCTTCTTGAAACACCTTATATCGACTTCACACACTTATATCGACTTTAATGAATAATTCAAACTATTTTGGATAAATAAATATGAGTTGGGCTTTTTTGGTCTCATAGTGAAAATGTCACTGCTTTTTATTCCATTGCTTTTACCCTCCTTACATCTGAAAATGTTCACTGCTGCCTGGAAATACCACAGCTTTGGCTCTTGCTCTGAGTTCAGCTGGGTCAATCAATAGCAATAGCAGTCTCTACACCAAAGAAAACCAAATCCAT